TTGGCCTATTTAAAAAAGTATCCACTTTTATACTGACCGCAAAAAATAAGTATCCCGCAAAAATTCGTCTAAAAATGTATCCAATTGGATCTATTTAGATCCAAACGGCATCCCTGCTCAGCTTTGCCAGCTGCGCTGCCAGGTGCCTCATCATTGGTTGCTTCCACATTCAGCAATGCAGTGATAATGAAAACGAAAGGAAACAGGCGGAGTTATGAAAACCACTTTCGGTGGCAAATTATGTATAAATAGAGTTATGATTTAGTGAATAAAATAGAATATGAACGACATGCTTATGACTTCATCATTTCTCCAAATTCGGTAAAGTTTTCGGTAGCCTCACGACCGCCTATTGAACGGCAGAACCTTCTCTGCCTAATTAAGGAGAGGGTTAATAATAACATTAACACTATTAGGACCAGAGTGTCCAGATTTGACGATTTCGCGCCAATTTGGGGATTTTTTTTTGATATTTGCGCGTTAAAATTTAGGAAATCGCCATTGGCGATTTTTTCCCTTCAAATACATTTTTTCCAATTATAAAAATATACAAAACCTGGCTTTCCATGATAATTTTACAGAAGAGCCTAATGCAATGCGTGATAAACTTGACTTAAAAAGCATATTAAAAACTGTCAAAAATTTTTAATCACCCTAATCTAAGAACTTTTGAAACGATTACCTAGTCAATTAAATACTTTTAAAAAAGCTTTGATTCTGTCACCATAAAAGTGTGTGAATCACAAGAGGGCGAGTTTCAGGGACCTGCCGATTCACTATTTGACTTTGAAGGCAAGAAAAGCAGCGGAAACTGAATATTTAAATCTTTTAACTTTCCCATTTAATAACTCTTCTCAGAACCATTCCATCAGACTCTGAAGAATTTGGGATAATTGCTTACGGAGTGAAAACCGCTACAGGCAATAAAATGTTTGGAAATATAAGTAAATTCATATTATTATCTTTTCCGCACTCTCATGCTCTGTTGATCGCGTTTTTTCCGTAATGAATTCAACAAAAACTAAGATTCGAAATAGTATGAGGTTGGAAAGCCTTAATTCAATAGTTCGAATAAAGTGTTATATAAAGGCTGCTGCAAAACGTTTCCATTATCAAACAATATGTTATCAAGTTTGAATAGTTCAATATATGACAACAGAAATATAAATAATTCAGACACTACAGATGATTTTGAAAAAAATTGTGGAAATAGCTGATCTCCCTTTATTATAGGGTTTTATTTAACTTTTAGCGCCTATCTCTTAAAAGCGGATTGCGCGATTAATCAATTAATATGAGTTATAATAAATTTAATAATTGTGCGGTCCTATTGCAAAATGTGTGGAAACAAATACTTTTAAAAAGTATGCGTACTTTTAAAGAAAATTGTTTGTACCTCACTATTATATAAGTGATTTGTGTTATTTATTATTACCCTTTTAAGGTATTATATTCGTTTTTATACCCGAGCGCACTTGTGCACAAGGGTATTATAACTTTGTTCACATAACGGTTGTTTGTAACAGGCAAAACGAATCGAGATAGATATAGACAAATGTATACATAAATGATCAGAATGAAAAGAGAAATTGATTAAGCGGTGACTGTCTGTCCGTCCGTCCGTCCGTCCGTCCGTCCGTCCGTCCGTCCGTCCGTCCGTCTGTGCACACGATAACTCGAGTAAAAATTGAGATATCTTAACGAAACTTGGTACGTGAACTTCTTTTGGGCGTGGGACGGATGGTATTGAAAATGGGCGAAATCGGATAATAACCACGCCTACCTCCCATATAACGGTAATTTTAAGAAATACGAAAACTGCGATATTTTAGTAACTACTGAAGATAATTCACTCAAAATTGATACTTACAATGAGTTTCAGACGGAAAACATGAATATTATAAATTTTTGGAAAATGGGCGTAGCCACGCCCACTTATGGTTACATGTGTATATCTTGGTAACCGCTGCACCAATTTCTTCAAAACTTGGCACAGTTGTTGGCCTTAGTACAACATACTAAATGGCTGAAAATTTTAAAAATCGGACAATAACCACGCCCACATCCCATATAACGGTAATTTCGAGAAATACAAAATCTTCGATAAATCAGTAAATATTGAAGTTAATTTATTCAAAATTGATGATTGCAACAATTCTTTACCAAGAAATACGTTTATGACAAAATTTTGGAAAATGGGCGTAGCACCGCCCACCTGGGATCACATATATGTATCTCGCTAACTGTTCTAGCAATTTGTACCAAACTCGGTATTTTTTATTGTGCTTGCCACATAAAAGCAAACCGTTGAAAATTGTTGAAATCGGACTAAAATTGAGACCGCTTTTCATATAACGGTAAATTTCAGATATGCTTGAAATTTCAATATTTCGAAATTTAAGGACGCTAATTTACTTAAAATGTATACACCCCGGCTTATCATGTAGCGGTAGCTTTCGGAAAGGTGGAAAACATATATTTAATACTTGCGCCGGGTATTTAATGTTCGGCTCCGCCCGAACTTAGAATTTCTTACTTGTTGGTTTTAAAACTATATTATAACAAGATCTCATTTTTAAAATAAAAGATTTGTTAAATGGATTTCATAAATTTTATTTAAAAAAAAAAATTTGCGATTTTTGGCGATTTTTTTTTCCAGAAATTGCGCTTTTTATTTAAACAATCTGAACACCCTGATTAGGACCATCACACCAATGTCACCAGTGTCGCCAGAGTTGCCAGTATCACCAGTGTTGCCACTGTCACCAGTGTCGCCAATGCCACCAGTGTCGCCAGTGCCACCAATGTCGCCAGTATCACCAGCGTCCCCGGTGTCGCCAGTGTCACCAGTGTTAGCAGTGTCGCCAATATCGATATATTGTTTTATATAGAAAAGCACCGTAGGCGAAATCGGCAGATTTTTTAATCGTTTTTACTATGTGTTAAAATATTGTGTTTTTTTTTTAACCACCACCAGCCTGGGACACTGGGGACGCTGGTGATACTGGCGACACAGGTAACATTGGCGACACTGGTGACACTGGCGAAGCCGAAGACTTCCGACACTGGTACACGGGTGACACTGGTGGCACTGGCAAAGTGCGAATAGGCACTCCCTTCTTGATTATAGCTGTGATACATATGTATATGCACATATGTATACACTCTAAAAAAATTTTGTTTAAATTTGCGCATATTAAGATAGGTAACCAGTTTCCTCTCTTAATGAATGCAAATTTACACACCGTGTAAATTAAATTAAACACTGCTCGCTTACTTTTACTTATCATATGTGTGGCGTAGAACAAATTTCAAATTTGTTTTTTGAGTTTTAAACATTTATTATTCACATTTTCACAGTTTACACATAAAATGTTTAAAATTTCCTCCAAAAAATTTTCATTTAAATTTACGCATATAAAGAGAGGTAACCAGTTTCCTCTCCTAGTGTGTGCAAAACTAAACACATTTTTTTCTTTTCTTGAGAGCTCTTTAAAGTTTAACTGCGAATGAAAACATCGTCCTAAAAATATGCAATTGTTTACTTGTCGGGCAATATTTTTTCATAGGGATATACACTGGATCCTTGGCTAAAAACTTCTGTGGTAAAACTGTCCCTTCTTTGCTATTTAAAGTCAAAGAGTAAGCTCCTTCAATATGGATTTCCAGCAGAGATGATCAACATCTGGCTATAAAGAGAATCGATGCTCAAATAATTAAAAAGCTATAACTATAAAAAGCGTAACTATCTGAGATTCAAATGCGTGTGCAAAATTAAACACATTTTTCTTTTTTCTTGAGAGCTCTTTAAAGTTTAACTGCGAATGAAAACATTGTCCTAAAAATATGCAATGCATACTCACTTACTGTTGCTTTTTACACTTTACAGCCTAAAAAAGTTTACCACTGATATGTACTTAATAAGCATTCGAAAATTTAACTTGCTAACTTCGAATTCATTCCACCAAAATGAGCTACATGATAAAAATACAAGTTCAGTTAAATTTTCGTTATACGAAGTATTAAAAAATGAGAAACCAGAAATCGACGAAAATTAATAAAAAATTGTAAAAATTTTGTGAAATTATTTTATTTATTTATATTAAAATTCTTTTGTAAAATTTTGTATTACTTTTGAAAGTTGAGTGCATATTTAACCGTTAATTTTTTCATGATTGAATGATCGGATCTAAATAAAATTACGGGACGACCCTTAAGGTACCATCTTTCCAGTAAAAAAAGAATTATTGGAATCGGTTCACGCGGTGCAAAGTTATGCGGTGGAATAAATAAAAGAAGTAAAAATACTCCGAAGAATTGATAACCTCCCCTTTTTTGAAGCCGGTTGAAAATGTCTGAGTTCTTTGTAAATTTTATGTAAATAAAATGCAATTTATGAAACTTTAAAAAGTTTATTTATTTATTTTATACCGTACATAAAACTTGCATAAATGTATTTTAAAGAGCGAATTTTCAGTATTTTCTGATGATATATATTTAGAAGTATAAACCCTTTCCCCAAAAAAATATATTCCTGCATGCGCTCCTGGCACTTAGTATTTATTATTTGTAAAAAATATATTTTTACTTTCAAAATGTTTGTAATTTTAAACATTTAATATGTATCTTTATGTGTAAATTTTAAACAAGTCATGTTCAAAGTCAAATCTTGAACATCTTGTGCGTATCCTAGAACAGATTCTGGTTGAAAAAAAAAACACTTTTCAGTAGTAGTTTTACATGCACTTTTTAGAGTGTATGAACAAATCTAAAAAACAGGTACACTTTCAAAAAAAAGTTAAATTTTTTTAATTTGCGAGCACACCATATATGTTTTATATATGACTAGCTGTACCCTGTGCGCGCGGCTATGCCACCAACTAAAATAAATATGAAGGAAAGACATTACACAAATATTCAATTCATTTTGAGTCCTTTTATTGATTTTGTTCATTTTGAAAAAAATTGTGACATTGCAGCGTTTCGTTTCAATACTATATTTATTGAAGTGCTGTGGGATACACAATATTTCTTGTTTTTACATCTGGTGCGTAAACGAATAAATCGGAAGCTTTTCCGACGCGTGAGCAGGCCACATAGATCTGCCCATGTGAGAAGCATGGATTCTCAAAATTTAATCCACACACTTGCAACGATTGTCCGTGTGCTTTGTTGATAGTCATTGCGAAAGCGAGTCGCACCGGGAACTGCAAACATTTGAATTCGAATGGCATATCTGTCGGGATCATTGGGATGCGTGGCAACAGTACGTCTTCACCTTTGAATTTTCCAGTCAAAATTGTTGCTTCGATAACATTGTTCATCATTTTCTTGACTGAGAGTCTGGTTCCGTTGCAAAGTCGTGGTGGATTTATGTTTCGAAGAAGAATGATGGGTACGCCATTTTCAATGTTAGAACGTGTGGTGGCATGCCTGGCAAATCAAGCGAATTCAAGAATTCAGTTGGATAGTTGACAACTTCGTCTTGATTCACCACAGTATCGATGGACTTATATGTTGTCGTTTCGCCGGGTATTCCATTCTGAATAGTGAAGTTGATGGTATTGACATCGATGTTTTGTTTTTGGCCGCTAATATAGCACGCGTACTGAGCCACTGATGATTTTTGTAGTTCTGTGCAATCTTTGGGAATACCTTTTGCACCAATTCGGCTATGCTTTCTGTCATCCTACAGAAGTTTGCTGGCAAGGTGATACATTGTGTAGAATCATCAATTTGTATTCGCCCATTTCCAATACCCATTAATTCTTTTGCAAAATTACCAGCCGATGTATCCCGTTGTAGTTGTACACGCATGTTGGTTTTCAGAGTCAATTTCTGTATATGACGCCATAAAACTGATGATTTGAGACATGCATTAAGTTCATCAGCGGGTGTTGAACGTGGTATAACCGGCAGTGTTTGTCGAAAATCACCAGACAATAAAATGAGTGCACCACCGAAGATCCGTGTGTTTCCCCTCAAATCTCGCAGTTTACGATCAAGCGCTTCCAATGCTTTCTTGTGAGACATTGTACATTCATCCCATATGATAATTTGACACGCTTGGAGTACTTTGCCCATTCCGGAGTTTTTACTGATGTTGCATGTTGGTGCCTCAGTGTTTTGTAAATTCAACGGAAGTTTCAATGCTCAATGCGCTGTTCGACCACCATCCAAAAGAGTTGCCGCAATTCCAGATGATGTAATGGCCAGTGCAATATTATTTTGTGATCGTATGGCCGCCAAAATGAGTGAAAGAAGAAAAGTCTTGCCTGTACCACCAGGCGCATCTATGAAAAACAGTCCACCGCTTTGTTCTGTGATTGCACGCATAATTCTGTCATACGCAATGCTTTGTTCTGGAACCAACTGCGGAAGATTTGTCTGAACAAATGTTTCCCGTTCGTCAGAATCAAAGTGTGTTTCTCGTTGCAAATCACGATCGAAAATGTCGTTCGCTGGTCGGTTCGGAGCGGGCATTCCCAGTAGCACCAGTGCTTTGTTAGCGATTGCCAAACATATGTCTTCAATCAAAATCAATGCCTCATTATACACGTTTGGTGTGAATTGAATGTCCAGATTTGGATTCGCAGCGCGCAAACGATGTAGAATATCTTCACTCATGTAGTCCTTGTATTTTTCCCAAAGTTCTTTTGGATTAGATGGGAAGCAGGTTGTCAGTATTACGGCAAATAACGTGCGCATTTGCTGTGGTCGCGCAGTATTCGATGCATCTGCGAGCGCAGTGTCCCAATGTGCATCATTCTTAAGAAGATTTAGGTCCTGGCAAGCTTGGCGATAAGTGGCGCACAGCTGACCGTTGACCGCTCTTAAATCTTGGAAGGATGTCGGCCACGTACATTGATTAACAGCAATCGCAGATAGAAGCACTCTGTATTGTTCGGGTGAACAGTGTACATACGACCCAATGCGTCACAGGAATACAAATTGGGATGTCCTTCAACTGCTTTACCTTGTTTGCGACGTTGAAACTTTTTAGCCGATGCATTCGGTACCTCAGAATAAAGTAGAGTCTGCAAAAATATCATCCTGGCACAGTGAGTAAAATGCAGTTAAAGTTGTTGCCGGTGGAACCAATGCTCTTGCACGTACATTATCTGCTGTGAAGTACACGCGCTGTCCATTCTCGAGATGCACCGCCAAGTGTACTACTGTTGGATGTCGTTCATGGATTGAAAATGATAAGATGCGCCATACTGCTTCATTGCTGCTAATGTAGCGTCCAAGCTGGTATTGGTTGATTTCATCGAGCTGTGCGGCCACATTCCCTACTCCGAAGACTGCCATGTCGCTTCCTTTGTTGACATATTTGCAAATGTATTTGATCGACTTCACTGAATTGCTATACTCAACATGTGTGCTTTGAAGGTCTTTGAGAGCAACGTTGAATATGGCACAACCCAACGATTATCGACTTCAACATCAACGTTTCGTACTTTCAGAACGATGGATTTGCCGCCATCCTCAACTGATCGTCGACGATACAGTGGGTATCCGTCATTGCCAGTGATGGTATAAGAAATCAAGTTTCTTGGGTATCGTTTCGTGCATGTCCCATCAGACATTCATGGAGAATTCTTATTGAATGCGCCACATGGACCATGGATCATATTTTTGGTAACGACGTCGAATAAGTCTAGATCAATGTCCTTATCTGGTATTTCTGCTGAGATGATTTGGTCAATTTGATCTGGCGTAATTTTGTTGATTAACCAAACCAAAATATGTGCATGTGGCAATCCTCTTTTCTGTCATTCAATGGAATACATCCAGCATCGTGTCTCTCCAAAAACGTGATGCTTGTTAATAAAATCCATCAAAGCTTTCAATTTTTGTTTAAATACGCGTGCGGTAATATCATGGCGGTCCGAAGATGATTGCCCAGCTAACAGAAGTTTTTTAATTTCATCCCATGTTGGATTGCATGTGAATGTGATGAACAAATCTGCACGGCCATATGCGCGAACGTATGTCATCGCATCTTGTGCGTATTCATGCATGTGCCGTGGACTGCCCGTGAATGTAGACGGTAATATGACCATTCTTCCCAATTCGTTTGGATTCACGTTACCATAATTAACGATTGCTTTTCGTAAATGGATGTACTATTCAGAACGCAACTCGGTTTGATTCAATCGAATATATAGGAGTCGTTCGGTTTCAATCTTCGCGTACATGTCGACTATGTATTGATGGAACAATTGTCGACATTTCAGAATGTCGTTCTCAGCGTCTTGACGAATCATCAATCGATATGAATAATAATTCATGGCACTGACTTTCTTATTCGTTTCCTCGTCTGTTGTGCATTTTTCATTTTGATGTTGAAATGATATCCATCTTCTCCTCGCCAAAACAGAATCGGATACTGCAATCCGTCGTATGAGCGATGCGTTTCGGATACTCGCTGAACATTACCATTTCTACGATGAAGAATTATGTCGCGCGATTTGAATTCTTCGCCAACTATCACGATCGCCACTTCATTGATTGTTGGTGCATTGAACTGTCTTTCGTGTTGGGCAACGGGTCTTTTGTCTGCTCGAATTACAACTGCGTAGTCATCGGCTGGCATTCGTTGAATGACGGTTTTAAACAACTGAACTAATTCATTGTGTTGATCGAAAAGGGCTTGTAACGCAGCCACGATTTCTCGTCTAGTGCCCTCATTGTAATGGCATCGTTGTTCAATTTGTTCATCACTGTTGGCCATGAAATAAATTTGAAGAAATTTGTGATCTCCGTCCGGCAATGGTAGAAGCGATCCGACACGATGATAAATTTGCCCTTGGACTCTGAATGTTGGCATGTAATTTTCGCGCACGATGTTCGTTGCACCGAACGATGTCATTTGAAAACATGAATTGTATTTGCGGATGTTTTCCAAGAAATGCTTTGACTCACGTGTAACACCTGATAGCAACGTTGATAGTGGTTCGGGTGGTGGAGGTAATTCCGGCAGCTTAACTTTTCCACTGGCGCAGCACATTCCTGGCATTCGTTCTTAAATTTGAGCGCGCTATAATACATGCAAATCTTATCCATTTTTCCAATGTTGACACTTGGATCAAGACTGTAATTATTATTACTGTCATAATGGAATGCCCCAAGATTTAAATCAGCGTGCAGTGTTCGTCTTGATCGAGCGGTGCTTATTCGAACATTTTGCAGCCTTCTTTCCCGCTGTTCAGTTGTCTCAGACGAACGGGCCTGAGTAGTACGTATTCAATCAGTTTCTAACCTCACTTCTTGTTGTTCAGATGATTCAGACGAACGGGTCTCAGCGGCATGTACTCGAAGATTTTCTAGCCTTAATGCTCGTTGCTCGTCTGATTCTGAGGCTCGTAATGCTCTTTTCTTCCGTGCTTGAGGTGTAGATCGGCCAATTGCTTGTCGCTTTGGAGGCATAATTGTACGGGAACGACGTGAAAAATGCGTTTGATTTTATAAGATGTCAATCAGCAAAACTTTATTGCACAAATAAATTGCCACAATATTGAACAAATTAGAATTGTATTTTAACCACAACACGATATTGCTCTGAAAACCTTTATAGTAATTTTAACAGTTATTATATTTTGCTGTACTTATCACTGCGGAGTGCACATGCTTACTGCGGAACTGTTTAAATCTATCTATACTATAATAAAACTGTAGATTGTTTTTATGTTTGAGCTCACTAATCTCCGGAACTACTGAATGGATTTTCATGGGGATTTTACTAGTATCTAGACAGTGACCTCGGACGTAACATAGGCTATATTTTATCAAAACTGGAATGTGGACAAAAAAGATATACAAATTTTTGGAAACACACTTACTTTGCACCAAATTCTTTTGAATACAATTTTGCTTTTCAACGGCATCAACATATGCCACTGTTTATTTTTCGTTGTTGATATTTTTTTCAACTGAAATAGTAATTAGTGTCGTTAGTACATATTGAAAACGGTCTTGAACATAGATACATACGAGGTTAAACGTTTCTCGCGGAGTTTTGTGTCTTACAAGAGTGGTGTGTTTCTACGAATCCGTAGGTCAAAAGATAATCGGTAGGTAGAAACTGATTTATTTAAATTTCTTTGTGTTTCGTGTATCACATTGGATTTTGAACATACAAATTTATTAGATCTGTGTTCGTATGGAAAACTAGCTTATGTAGAAAGGCTGGCTTTAGTATAATGCGGCAATCCCTTTATTTTTTAAACGGCAAGGAATTTTCTGATGAGACTTAATAAGAATATTGACTTGCTAGTATCGGAACTATTTCTTCCACGTTTATTTGCCAAAAGTTGTTCAACGG